GCGTGGGTATGAGTGAGTGTGACTCGGCACGCATGTGGAAGATGGACAACTTCCGGGAGCTGGCCTTTCCTTCTTCCTATGGTCCTCGGGATGAAACCCTGTTGTCAGTCTCCCCGGCAAGGCCCCGCCCTCTAAGCGGCTTCCCCAGGCCCAGCCTGGTGTTCCTGCTGTGACAGGGGCTCGCCCTGGTCTGGAACTCACCAAGTAGAGCAGACTGCGCACCAGGAGCCCCGTCTCTACCTCCTGAGTACCGGGGTTACTAACATGCACCACCACACCCGGCTCTGTGTGCCCGTGTTGGAGAGGTCGACCTCATGTCTCCCTCAGTGGCTCTCCATCCTATTCCGTGTTCCTGCATGTGTGCTGTGTGTATGCACTGTGTGGAAGCCAGAGGTTTCCGTTGTGACTCTCCTCCGTCTCCCACCTTCATTTCTTTGGAGGCGGGGTCTCTCCCCGAATCTGGGCCTACATGGCTGACCACTCCAGGGACTCACCTGCCAGGCTCTGCTTCCCCACCGTCCAGCTGCACGTGGTGCGGGAATCTGAGCTCGGGGCCTCCCGCTTAGGGACAAGGACTTCACTGACCGAGCCTCCCACACCCTTCCTGTCCACCTCTGACGTGCTGCCCCTCTTGCTCCTCCGCAGGGAACTGTTCGCACACACTGAGAACCGCGAGACAGATGGACATGAAGGTAAACCCTGCCAGCTCCCTCTCTGCCCTTGGCTCTGCCGCCTTCTCCCAAGAGCCCTCACTTACAGACACACCCCTCAGCATTTGCCCCTTCCCCCTTCCCCCTGTCCCCCCTGGAGCTCCCAGCACCCGTCTACCTTCCTGTCACACGGCCTGCCTTCAGCATTTCGCGTCCTTTCTCTCTAGAGCAACACACAGAACCCCGAGAGAACCCCAAGGTAAGCAACTCGGACTCAGGCCTGAGGAAAGCCGCAGGGACGGAGGGGGGCTGGAGGGGCAGAGGCCTGTGGGCTGGGCGGACAGCACACTGCAGGGGCTGCCCTCTGCCCTCTCGTCTCCCCAGGAGAACATCGTGTATGCCTCCATCGCGCTCGCGAGACCAGCCTCCCCGGGAACTGCCCCCTGCCCGCCCGTCCACGCGCAGCCCCAGGAGGAGACTGTGTACTCCACCGTGAAGGCCAAATGAGCCGGGTCACACACTCAGGGTCACCTTGGCCTTGCTGGGAAGACTCACGCTCCCCTGATAGCCACGGCCGGGGACCGAAACTCACGGGCGCACACTCTGGCCTCAGAGAAACCGAGAAACTCCCAGTTCCCTTTTCCAGCTTCCTAGGCCTTTCTCACAGAAATAAACAGACCCACAGAATTGGCCTACATGACTCTACCAGAGGACTGATGTCACCTCAGCTTCCGGCCACTAACAAGCCCCCACTGTCACTCTTCCCTATTGGCCCTCGGCAGGGGACTCCCCACAGGCTGGTGTCCAGTCCACACGCTGTGCTCCCACTGCTTCCCACGTCCACCGCACAGACACCAGCCGGACCCCAGACCGAAGACACGCAACTAACAGCATGTGCTCAGTGTCCCCGCAAGCCACATGGCTCCTAGGAAGTGCAGCAGCCAGGACTGGAGCCCGGCCTTGTTTCTCCGGAGTGTCCCCCCCCCCGACCCTGGCTTCCTACACTGTCCCAGAAGGCTGTCACCGTGGGGACAGGAAAGAAAGCTCAGCAGTAACCCAGAGACCGCTTTATTAACACAGGCTGCACAGGACTGGACCCACGGAGCAGGTCCACAGCCCCTACCCTGACCGGCTGCTCCAGAACTGCGCCCCTGCCGCAGACAGCAGCAGGAGGACCAACAGCTACTCCTCAAACAGCGCAGCCAGCGACTCCTCTGAGCTGCCCCGGGGCAGCTCCCCTCCCTCGTCCGGCTCGCCAATGTCTTCCAGGAGCTGCTCCAGGTCCAGGTCGCTGGAACCATCATCTTCCGGGAGGAAACTTGCTGCCTCCTGTGTCAGGGGCACGTGGCACCCAGGTCCTTCCTTTCTCAATGGAGAAACCCCATGCCGAGCTGCTGGGATAGGGCACTTGGACACAATTTTGACTTCTTTCTCCTCAGATAAGTTGGTGGCTGGGGCCTTGTTTTCAGGAGCTTTGAATTTCTTCTTAGGGCCTGAAGGGAACAAGGGACAAAGTTGAGAGTCAGCCTATCCTGACTTTTTACAAGCCAGTTTCTGAATTCTTGTGTTTAAAGCATCTGAAGGGATAATCTTAATACGAATATGGGCTTTTAAGTCACACTTGGATTCTAGCCTGTGTCAGCTATATATTCAGTGTGGGTCTTGAACAAATTTGAAACTTTCTGAGCCTTAGTAAATTTGCATCTGAAATGTCAAAGCGGCTGAAAAGATGGCTCAGCAGCTAAAAGCAGTTGCTGCTCTTACAGAACACTGGGTTTCGATTCCTACGTTCACATAGTAGCTCACAGCCATCTGTAACTCCGACTGCAGAAGACGACACCCTCTTCTGGCCACCAGGCCTACATGGTCCACTGATGTACAGGCAAAACACCCATCCATCCACTGTACCACTAATGTTCTCTACCATTTGGCTTATCTTTGGATCGTATCAAATCAGTAACAATTAAGTCTGTTTGTTTACTTACTCATTTTGAGAGAGGGCCTCACTCTACAGCTCTGGCTGGCCTAGTCTCACTATGTAGACCAGGCTGGCCTGAAGCTCGGAGAGCTGCCTGCCTTTGCCTATTGAGTGCTGGGATTAAAGGCCTTCCACACCATAACTGGCCACAATTAAGTTTAGAAAGTATATTTTACATTCAACCTGAGGCCTGGAACTCATACCATAAAGAAGGCCAGCCTCAACTCCATAATCCTCCAACCTCAACACAAAAGCATCAAGAGTTGTACATTTGTTCAGAAATGACCCAGGGAGGGAGGTGCGGACAAGGACCTCCTTCCCCGCAGCCTTTGCATCTTGGAGGCTTACCTGGACTGTCCAGGTCTGAACTCGCCTGTGCCTCCTTCCCTCTCAACATGGGCACAGGAGGCTCTGGGGCTTCACTGCTGGGAGACTTCTTCACAGGCTTTTTTGGAGTCCCATCTCCTCTTCCTGCTGGATCTGCCCAATCCCAGTCCCCAAGCATAAAGAAACTTTGTTGACAGCTACACAAGGCAGATAGTTGCCACACATTTAGCTTCTGCCTTCTTCCACATCAACTGGTTCCCTCAGTGGCTTCCAATTCCAGCCATTTTGACATCGCTGCTCCAGGGTCTCCTCCTCCCTATGGTTCTCCAAGAAATCAGCCTTGGTGACCAAGCTGAACCCTACACCTTCAACCCAGGACTTTGGGAACAAGAACAGGGTGCCATGACTTCCTCCCTAGCATCACCCTGGCCTGTTCTCTCAGATCCTAGAAATGAGATTCATTCCGGCTCAGCTCCCTGTCAACACTTACTGTCTGCTTCTCCCCTCTTTCCAGCTGTCTTACTTACCTCTTGACTTGGTTTTTTTGGTCTGTATTTTAGCTGGCTTGGGTCTAGGCAAAGTTGGATCCTTCAATAGTGAAAGAAGAGAAAAAGACAAATCACAAAACTCTAAAATCCAGGGAGGCAGCTTAGTCATGTGATTCCCATGCAAATGTGAGGAACTGAGTTCAATCTCCAGAACCCACATAAAAATCTTGGTGTGACAGGGCACACTTGTGATCCCAGCACGGGGGTCGTGAAAAGAGGTGCATCCTTGGGGCTTGTCAGCCAGCCTACCTGAACGGACATGCTCCAGACTTATCTCAAGAAACCTGGCACCTGAGGATGACCTCTGGCCTCCACATGCATTCGCACACACATTCACCAGCGCCCGTGTGTGCTTTTTAGGAGAGGGGGTGGTGGAAAACAATGGGGGGCATCAGAAAGTTAAATTAGGTTTGACTGCAGCTTGATGCGGTCTCTCCCGTAGCAGGAGAGAAAATAGGCATCACCTTCCCATCCTGTTTAGCATCACTCACAGAAAGAAGCTGGGGAGGTAAATCTGAGACTATGAGATGGCTCCATGGCTCCAAGCCGACAACCTGAGTTCAGCTAGAGGGATCCACAGGATGGAAAAAGAGAACAAATTCCCTCCACATGTTCTCTGACATGCGCTCCCACCCCCAATTACATAATAATTTCTTTTTACAAAAAAAAAAAAAAAAAGTAAACTGAAAGAGAAAGTGAAAACGATGTCAATGTGATGCTAAGAAAATTGGTGACACTTGAAGTTTCCACACGGGGAAAGGAGTGGAAAAACCAACTAGGGGTTCCCTGAAATTACATGAAGACTCAAAGAAACAGCATACACTGAGACTGCAGTCAAGAAGGAACTTCCTAAGGAGCTGAGACAGGCCCACAGTGAAGAAGGAAAGCCTCCCTCCCTGGAGAGCCTAAGGGCTGAGCCAGCCAGTCCCTGGAGGCTGGCTGGTTGACAGGATCCCTACAGGGACCCCCGAAAAGTCCCAGAGTTTTCTCTAAGCCAGTGTTTGGAGCTTTACTTCCTTCTCTTCTTTCTCCTCCTCCTCCTCTGAGTCCCTCTGGTCTTCCTCCAGACAAAACTCAGGGCTGTTGGACTCACTGAGCCTCAGATCTAGAAGAGGGAAAGGAAGGAAGATTGTGTCCAAGACACATTTGGTGAACTGGAGCCGATCTCAGGAGCTGCATCTTCTGAGCCCGCCCTCTGCACCCGGGGATAGTTCCCAGGTAAGCATGGCCCACTGGCCACTACTCATGCCCACCCTTTCCTAGGCTCTCCTCACCCTTATGCCTGTGTCACGGTCACAAGAGCTCCCACTAGAGAATCTGGAATGGGCCAGATGGTGCAGGCTTGGGTCCTGGGGCAGGGGGCCTCCCAACTCTGGCCCCTATTCTCCTCCTACCTTGCCCTTCTTCACTGATGTCAGCTCTGCTGTATCGACTCCAGAAACCAAACAAGTTAACCCGCTCCTGGGGAACCAAGAAATAACAGTGTCACCCTTTCCCTCCCAGGCACAGCTTTACCCTGTCTCCTAGATTTTAGTTATGACAAAAATCTACATTCATTTTCCAAACCATTATCACTTTAAATATCACATTAGCTCTATCTGAACCATTAATGGAGATTAGTTATAATCTCTTTTCTAGTTTATTCATGATGGAACCAGTGACTAGGAAAGAGAGATCCACAAGTCACTCTCTACCCCACCTCTGCTACTTCCAAAGGAATTTGAGGGGAAAACTGTGTTTGGGCTGAGAGAAGACCCAGCTGCCCAAGGGCAGGGAGAAGGGTGGGTGCTTTAGGCATCATGAAACCAGGCCAGCAAGGAAAGGAAGCGCTCTGAGAGCTGCAGTGGGGAAGGCGCCCTGCAGTAAGGCAGCAGGTGTGCTCTCCTATGGACTGAACGGGACCCACAAGTGAGCTGAGCACCCCCACCTGAACGTTGATCTGTTCTGCCTTGTGAGCCATCGTTATGGCTGCCTCCAGTTTCTGGTTGTACTCCTTGTTCCTGCCTTTTTTCTAAAACAGAAAAAATAGAGTTAATGATAAATATGTCTTTGTTTTTTTTTTTTTTTTAGACAGGGTTTCTCTGTGTATCTCTGGCTGTCCTGGACTCACTTTGTAGATCAGGATAGCCTCAAAATCACAGAGATACACCTGCCTCCCTGAGTGCTGGGTTTACAGACATGAGCCACCATGCCGGCAATAAATATGCCTTTAAAAATAGTCAAAATAAAAACTTTCAATAATTTTTTACTTAGTCGGTATGGATATGGAGAGATGGCTCAGCATTTAGGCACTGCTCTTCCAGAGGACCCGAGTTCAGTTCTCAGCATCCACACCAGGCCTCACTACCATTTAAACTCCAGCTTTAGGAGCTGAAGTTTTGGGCCTCTATAGGAACCTGCATGCACATGCTCAGACCCACAATTAAAAATAAGTCTTTTTAAAGAAAAACCAATTGATAATATTAGAAACATGACCTCAACATACCATTACCCCCAGACATACATACATGCATATGCATATATATATATATATATATATATATATATATATATATATATATTTTTTTTTTTTTTTTTTTTTTTTGAGACAGGAGTGAACACTGTAGCTCAGTCTAGTCTGGCACCCACTTGAGCCTATTGGCCTCAAACTCAGAGCAATCCTCCTGCCTCCGCTTCCTGAGTGCTGAATCACATATGTGAATCATCACAGACTTAGACATTATCTTAGCTACAGGTTCTTCAGTTCCTGGTACTGACTCGGTGGTCTGTTCTTAATCTTTGGGGCTCAGAAACAGCACTCTCCTTCCCAGTAAAGCTCTGATATATGCCCTCACCACAGCGAATCATATGGGAAGCGAAAAGAAAGAAGGAAGTTGAGGTGGTTCCACTTTGCAGCTTCTCAAAGGCCCCACTAAGCGCAGCAGTTCAACACTCGCAGCTCGGGTGAACAGAAGGCACATAACAGACATTTCTCCACAATTCCAAAGTCCACCTCGTTGCCTGTGGAACCTCTGCTCACTTTAAAGCTCGCTAAATCCAAATGATTATAGGGAGGGGGTACAATTTAGCTAACCACATGCTTCTCAACTAGGGAAGACTCTCCCAGAAGACAGCATTTGGGGACAATTTCTTGGCTGTCACAACTAAAAGAGTGTGAGACAGACACTGGGTAGAAGATGCTGCAGTGCCCTGGGGCGCTGCTAAGAACTGTGTGCCATAACAACCTCCACAACAAAGGACTGAGATGCCCACAGTGCTGAGACTGAGAAGCCCTGGGTTAACCTGGGCTGCAACTCCTGAACTGATTCAGAACATGGTGTGGTGTTGCTCACCTTGAAAGCCCAGGTTTTAGGAGGTTGGAGGCAGAAGGATCAGAAGTTCAAGATCACCCTTAACTCCATAGTGAGCTCCAGGCCACACTCAGATATATAAGACCCTCTCCCAGAAAAAGAGCAAGCAAGCAAACAAAAACTCGCAAAAAGGAACCTGTTCCATGTATCTCAACGGATGCCCAAAGTTTGCTCACCACTCTGGCTAGCTCCAGGGACAGCTCCTGGAAGTTCTTCAGCATGCTCACTGGGATCCATGCACGAGAAACCGCTTCTCCAAAAAATGTCACATGGTACTTAGACTGCAAAAACAATGGTTTTGTTTGGGTTCCTGCCCTTCTCTCTGTTCTTCCCTTGTCAGAAATGCTAGAGAAAGGCAGGAGGATTCACAGGAAGATGCTGGAGCTCCCTGAACCCTGGCTCACATACCCAGCTCACCCTGCTCCTCCTCTACTCTGTCACTCTAGTTAAGCATCTTCTGCTGGCTGCGTCTATCTTTAAGCATGTGAGGGTGGATGTGCTGCTTCTTGGGCCAGAACCAGGAAACTCACCGGCAGAGAATCAAGATGAGAAGCAAAAAGAAAGTACTCCCCCAGGTCAGGGTCAGATTCTACCATGCCTGGCCACCTGGGAAGAGGGTAGGATGGGAGAGAAGGGGTTACCATCAGAACATAGCCTGATCATCATGCGCACATGGAAAGCAGCAACAGCTAAACCCCGCTAGTCCCCACTGGTCCCTACCAAACGACTGGCATGACTTCCAGCAGTACAAAACGGGGCTCGGGCGCCCTCTCAAACGCAGGGACAGAAAACAGGCTGGCCTGCTCGCCCTTCCCTTTACTTCGCCTGCCTCCCACATCTCAACATCTTAAAGTGCCTTGAGGCGGGGCTTGGTGGCATGTGCCTCACAAACCAGGCACTAGGGAAGCTTAGTGCAAGGGCAGTACTGTCTCAGAAACAAAGCAGAACAAAAACAAGAGATTGCTTTAGGTCCTTCTCCCTCTTCTTCCCTCATAGCATCCCAGACCCATTTTCCCAGAGACCCTACCTTTCCTCTGAAACCTAGTCTTCAAAGCCTTCCAGCTCAGCCCTCATCTTCTCCCTCACTAATGCTCTTCCTAACGAAGGTACCAGCTCTGCAACAAGTGATTGCCATATCCTTTCCTCCCTGCAGGACTCTAGCCCCCAAGTTCAGGACAGGTGTCCTCTGCGTGGCGCCCTACCAGGGGTAGCCATACTGCTTGGCCCAGACGATGGACCCTGGAATGTAGGAGGCATAGGCCACATCACTCTCATGGCCTGTCCAGGTCTCCTCGGGAATGTCACAGCGATTATAGTTCAGGTCTGCCAGAAGGAAGCAAAGCAGAAACAGGAGGCTCAAAGGGTGAAACTGGGATGCAGGCCCCAGAGAGGGCGAAGGGAAGGGCACAGGCTGCAGGTGGGGAGAACAGACCCCCACAGAGGAAATGCAGCTGGAGCCAAGAGGAGTGCTGCCTCCACCATCAGAGCTCCGGAACACCCGCTCAATCCCCGTGCGGCTCTGCCCCCTTGTGGAGCAGTGCAGCGTCGGTTCTCTGAGACCGTTCTCGCCTGTGAAATCAGTGTTGGGGACTACAGGGTCAGAGTCTTCCCCAGCCCGCCCCAAACCTTCCAGAATGGGTGCTAAGCTCACTGGGTCTTTCTCAGTTGCCTTTCCCAGCACGACACAGACCCCTCAACGCCAGCGACATCTAAGTTGTTCCTAACTGAAAGGAGACATGCAGGGTAGGAGGAACAATAAAAACTAGGAGAATGGCCCCTCCATTGCTTGCTACCTGGATTCTGGTCACAAGACCAGTTATCTGGGAGAACTGAGGGATCAATGTTTCCACGAAGCTGCCTCCACTTCTCACACTTTGGAAAGGAACACTGGACCCAGATGAGACAGTGGCCTGTGACAGGAGACAAAAACATGCTCTTCCTTCTTCAATCCAGGTTTCCCTCCGGCCCCTGAATCGTATCTCAAAGCCTGCACAGTAACTCTTGAGTTATAAACTGCAGAGTGAAGGCTCGGGGTGCACAAAGACTTGCTGAGTTCAGCCTAACTTGGTGACAGAGCTGACCCTGGAACTCAAGCCCTCCGTCCTGATCTCTCAGCCAAGCACAGTGATGCTTCCTGCGCTGATAACATCGAGAAGGTTGCCTTAGCTCCGCAGTGCAGAGCATGCACCACTTTTCCAGGGTTTAGTTCCCAGCTCCCACAGGGGACAGCTCACAAATGCCTTCACTTCGGCTTCAGGGATCTGACGCTCTCTTCCGATAGGCAGTTTGCTCATGTGCACAACCCACCTTTGACACACACAGACACAAAATGAAAAGTTGGAGGGGGGCATGCTAAAGGTTGCCTTAGGGCTGTGAGTGTATCACGGTGTTCTGAGAATACTTTCTTAACTTCTGTAAAGCCCCAGGAGCCCTCTATTATCACAAAGAAACACAAAGCTTGGGGCTAGGAGACTGCTTTCCTTGAGAGCAGGAGGGATTAAATCCACACACTACCCACCTCAAAATGCTGGGCATAGCTCTGTCTCCCCTGGCACTGGGAGACAGAGTTAGGGGGATGGCTAGGGCTCAGTAGCTAACCAGCCTAGCCTAGGTTGGTGAGTTCCAGGCCAGTAAGAGACCCTGTTTCTCTCTCTCTCACCAAAAACAAACAAACAAACAAACAAAAAGGGTGGATGGTGCCTGAGGGGGCCTCTGGCCTGCATCTTTCTGGGTCTGAGTCTCTGACATTGCACTGGTACTCTCTAAATACCACCCTGCATCTTTCTGGGTCTGAGTCTCTGACATTGCACTGGTACTCTCTAAATACCACCCTGCATCTTTTGTGCACATGTTCGTAATTCTTATCCAAAAATCTCAATGGATTTATCTTTCTGCTATCAAATTACAAGTGTAAGCTGGAAGGGCTGAGGCTGTCTCAGTGATTAAGAGCAAAGCAGACACTACTGGCAAAGAGGCCCTGGGTTCAGTTCCTAGCACCCTCACAGAGCACCTCACAACTGCACCCCAGGGGATCCTGCTTCTTCATCTGGCCTCAAAGGAACTGCATTCATGCACACGAATCTACATACAAAACACATGCATACACATAATTAAAAATAAAATAAATCTTTAAAAATTACACAGTTGCCGGGTATGGTGGTACACACCTTTAATCCCAGCACTCGGGAAGGCAGAGGCAGGAGGATCTCTTTGAGTTCCAGACCATCCTGGTCTACAGAGTGAGTCCAGGACAGCCAAGGATACACAGAGAAACCCTGTCTCAAAAACAAACAACAAACAAAAAACCAACAAAGTTGACTCCTTTAGAACCAACGCCCTGAGCCCATCCTCTTCAAGATGCAGGTCTAGGTCTGTCCAGCATTCTTCTTGTAACCATTTACTGAGGGCCCCACTCAAAGCCAAGGGCCAGGACTTCCTCTTACCCATTACTTTTCAAATCTCCACTTCTGTCTCAATGCTAAACTTTTCCACTCTGTTCTTTGAAACATCACAGGCTGGAGAAACACTATTGACACATCATCAACCTCTTCTGTGAACTCATCTCCTTTTGTGTGTGTGCTCCAGTGTGTGCCTACACACGTCAGAGGTTAGTAGCCAGCATTGTCCTCATTATGTTCCATCTTACTGCTTTTCTGTGTGATTTAGAGGTTGTGTGTGTGTGTGTGTGTGTGTGTGTGTGTGTGCGCGCACGCACGAATGCACACACAAGCACATGGTCTGTTTAAGAGAGACAATATTTCACTGTGTAGCTGGCTGGTCTCAAACTCAGAATGGGTCTGCCTCTGCCTCCCAAGTGCTCAGACTAAGAGCATGCATCATCATACCTGGTAAGATTTTATCTTCATCTTTAATTATGTGTGCATGGGAGTGTGTGTGCATGGAGTGCAGTACTCACAGGAAAGACAGGGCACTGGACCCTCTAGAGCTGGGGTTAAGCTGAGCTGTGACACCTGATCTGGGTACAGGAGCTGAGCGGTGCTCATCGGGAGCAGTGAACCCTTTAGCCACTAAGCCAGCCTCTCTCCAGCCCTGTCCACCTCCTTTTTAAGGCAGGGTGTCTCTGAACCTGGAGCTCCCTCCAGCAGGGCCCTCCTGTCTCTGCTTCCTCAGCTCCGGGACTGTGAACACCCGTCACTGCACCTACCTTTTTCACTGGGGTTTTAACAAACTCAGATCCTCATACCTGTTTGTCATGTATGTGCTGAGCCATCTCCACAGCCCTCTACCTTCATTTTGCTACCTGGATGACCACTAACGACACTCCCCCAGGCAACCCCCCCCCTCTTAAGGGGAGTCTGTTCCTCCTCACACTTCTCAAGGCAGAAAGTAGGGCAAACATTATCTTTATTCCCACAGACACTGTGCCTCTCTGTCCTGCAGAAACTTTCTCCCAGGTGCACACCCTCAGGCACTATCTTGCCCTCTTGTCTCCCGTGTACAAATGGTTGCCTCCTACTCAGTATTTGCCTCTCCATTTCCAGCCTTCAGTTCAGAAGACCACATCAAAGGAATAGCTCCCAAGCACCCCATTTTGGTTTCTTGGCCCTTTCCTATACACCTCCTCTGGAACCTACTCCCACTCCTACATGGCCCGGTCAGAAAGCACATACACACCCCTCTGAGTCACATGTCCAAACGTCCTCTGACAGAAACATCCTGTCCTCTCCACTCACTTGCTGAGAGTCCTCAACTCTCACTCTGCCTCAGTCTCCAGCCCACCAGCCGGCCCCATCCACTCCAAGAACATGAGGATCTGGATTTGGATCTCCAGAATCCATGTAAAATCCAGGTGCAGACATGCACACCTTTAATCCCAGTGCTAGGAAGATAAAGACAGGATTCCTGAAATCCACTGACCAGCCAGGCTGGCTGAATCAGTGATTCCGGGTTCACTGAGAGACCTTATCTCAGAATGTAAGATGAAACGTGATTCCTGTAGGGTAGGAAGATCTCTAGCCTTTAGACAGACAGACACAGACACACACACACACACACACACACACACACACACACACACACACACACCTCTTGTAAATCTGCTTTGCTAAAATTTTACCGTCAAATTTTACCTTAAAACATTCAAATGAGGAAACGTACCTCACCCATTTCTAATGTCATCCCACTGGAATCATCACTCAGAAAAGGTGACTTTACATATGGATCCTTTCAAAACATCATATACTATGTATGGCTTATGTCTTAAGCATTTTTATCTAAAAACAAAAGAGTGGGGGTTGGAGAATTGATTTAGTGGTTAAGAGCATGTGCTGTTTTTCCAGAGGGTCTGGGTTCAATTCCCAGCACCCCCACATGATGGCTCACAACCATCTGTCTATCCAGTTAAAGGGGAGTTGACCTCTTCTGGTCTCTGTAGGCAGCAAGCATGCACACAACGCACGCAGGCAAAATACCCACACACATAAAATAAACTTGAAGACAGAACAAGAATCCTGGCTGGGCATGATGTATCCGCCAGAAGTAACCGTTACTGGGCCTGGGTCGAAGCTGGGCCTGGGGCAAAGCGTAGCCAGCAGAGTGTTTGCCTAGCACACATGAAGCCCTGAGTCCAGTCACAAGCACCTTGCTCTCGTGATTGTCTCGTGGCTCTCTTCCCAGCACTCAGGAGGCAGGAGGGTCAGGAGCACAAGGGCATCCTCAGCTCTATAGTGAGTTCAAGGCCAGCCTGGCTACATGAGATCCTGTCTTTTGAAACACAGCAAAAACTAAAACTAACCAACCAATCAAACAAACAAACAAAAAACCCACTGTCCCTAATAATCTGGTATTTATAGAGGTGACCTAGCAAAACTGACAAAAGAGCTGGAGAGAGGCCGGAAGCCACAAAAGCTAAAACATATCAATAAAATAAATGGTTTCTTGTGAAAGTGACAGCATTCCATAAGGAAATGGGTAGAAAGAAGTCATCCTAATGGTATAAAAATGGAAATTTCACTAGAAGGTTGTTTGACGGCTCAGGGATCACTGTGGAAGAAGGAACAAAGATAGGGTAAGAGCCAGGGGCAGTGGATGACGACAAGGAAACTGTCTCCCAGACACTGAAGAGGAGCTGAACACGTGACTTCACAGCAGTTTGACAACATGCACAAGACCTTTCCAAGCTCAAGCCAGACAAAAATGCCAGCATGGAGAGGTGGACACCAAGTCCCACCCCTAGCCAAGTCCTGAGAGCTGCTGGGGAAGGAGAGTTGGCGAGAGAGGATAAGCAGCTCATCATACTTGACAATTTAAAAAGTGAGAGAACAAATGGCTTTGGGGGTGGATCTGCAAGGAGTTGAGGGAGACTGAATATGATAAAAGTATACTACAAATTCTCTATGAGCTAACAAAGAGAAGAAACCCTGTTTGAGGCTGTGTGCGTGGCTGTGTGATGGTGGAGACTGATGTGACCAGCGTACACACAGCATTCCTGAAAGGCGAGCTTCCTGTCCCCTGCGATACCTCACTCTCCTGCCTCCTCCCATCCTCCTGGCAGCTTCTTTCTCTGTTTCCTTTGCTCTGTTCTTTTTTTTTTTTTTTTTTTTTTTCTCCATCCAGAATCAAAAAGTACCAAAGTTCAGTAAAGGTGTTTCTCTCCTCACAGCACACCTTCCCCTAAGCCCGCCCATCCATCCCTGTAGTCCTGAGACCTATTTCTCACATCTGACAACACAGCTGTGCCCTTGGGCCTCTGCTGTGAATGAAGTGACACTCTGCTCTTTGACACCTGCGTGGTGGCATTGATTAGGTTCTGTGGTGCTGAGGACTGATCCCAGGACCATGTGCACATTGAGCACACGCTCCACCACTGACCTCCTCCCAGCCCTGACTCTCTATTTGCAGGTCTCACACACATCCTGAATTTAATGCACCCGAATGAAAATGTCTATCT